ACAGTGGCACCTTTGAGCATTGCCCCAGCTTTGAAGCTGACGAGGACAGGGCTTCAGGATGTGTTCATTGATGTTTCACCCAACAAAGGAGCGATTGATCATGATTTACCCATGGAAGCATGGCGATATCAAGATCCATCAAAGACGATGTTGCGAAGGATGCTGATGTATCAAGATAGATGAGGAATTATCAAGATAAATCAAGATAAATTTGGGATATCAACAAATATCAATAAAACCATCCGCATTAACCATCCCTTCGCATCTTGGCTCCGCTGCGCTTGGCGTCGCAGGAGTTCCAGGTGCTCCGCTGGAGCAAAGCCGGTTGGTGGTGGGCGCGGCGCTCGCGCGATGGGCAGCAGGGCTGGGTCTACAGCAGTCAGATGAAGCCCAAGATGTGCACGGCGTGCCATGAGAAGGTGAGGAAATTGTTGAGTCATGGGGGATACCACTGGGATTTTTGGTGGATCGGGGATGATTGGTGTGGGCATCAAAGCCAACAGTTTCGACAGTGCAACAAGTCTGTTCATAGAAGCACAACATTCTAAAACAATGAGGGGATAGGTGTAATCTCTGGTAGTCATGGAGGTAATCAAGCTGAGACCTACAAATCATGGTTGTTGTGCACTAAGATGCACTAAGTATCCAAGGGGGCACTCCGAGTGGTCCCAAGGTATCTTAAATTGAGACTTGAGTTCCACGATCCGGATGGCTGATGTGACCAGATCTGACTGTACCCTCAACATTCCTGAGAAAAGACCACATAAAATGCCGAAATTTCATAGAACATGGCACATAGGATCATTTCAATTTCTGATGCTGGCGCCCTGGAAGGTGCAAAACCTACCGCCGCCGCAGATGGAAGAAGACGCTGGGAATTTAGTAAGCTGCAAAAGGTTGCAAAGTTCAGCCAAACCAAGTCTTGAGGGTCAATGAGAACTCACAGATCGATGTTCCCAAGAGCACTAATGCCAATACAAGCCAATAGACATTCCGACATAGTGAGTACGCTACAATACATCTCCCCACGCATACTGTAATCTATTTTCAAATCAGAGATTCCTGGTTAGATCCCCAAGTTTTGGTTGGATAAATCAATTAACCCCTTGCTGCTTGACCCCTTGCTGCTTGACCCAAATAGATTTTGAATCGGAATCTGTGGGGTCATCCCAGCTTACACTGGCGCAGCTTGCTTCGTCCATGCTGCTGGTTGGAACAGGATGTCCCCAGTCGGTGAATGACATTTGAGACCCTTATGAAAATTCCATCTAATTCGAAATTTATTCACGAAATACTGGTTGGAATGCTACTGAGACTACCACTAATACCAACTAAACTGTCAATGATTCAAACCCACTACTATCAGTTTAAATGATTGAATACCACTGCCACGCCACTAATTACCCCCAGAAGTTTTGAAAGAGGGCCCCTATAACTGTTGAACCATATCCCAGCAACTGGAACTGGACCCCCAAATACAAGTTGGTGCCCCACAGCTATAAGTTGGTTTATAACCCCCTATATCATAAACCACAGTAAACCTACTGAACTAAACAAGTTAACTATCATGAGCCAACTATACATCCTCAGCTTTGCTGGTGAAATCCATGGTTTTATGTGGTTTTATGGATGAACCCCCAAATTCACCAGGTACCACTACCAGTTCCCATCCCAGGAGGCCCTTGAAGCGCCCTTCCCGGAAGTCGAGCCCTGGCCGCCGCTGCCGCCCACAGACGAGGAGGCGGCCGCCGCCGCGGCGGTGTGGCCGCCGCTGCCACCGGGGTCGCCGCCGAAGGCGACCCGAGAGGAGCCCAGTGCACTGGAGCCTTGGGAGTTTCACACCATAGCTGGGATAAATAGCTGGGATGGTTTCATCCCCGCAAAAATTGGAGGTTTTGAGAGTGCTTGCCAATGGTGTTTTTTTGAGTGCTTTGGATTTTTTGTTGGAGATAGTTTGCTTTTGCTGTTGTTTGAGATTTTTTGGATACTTCTTTTCAGGGTTGAACATGGTTTAGTCGTTTTTTGGAATTGTGAACCGGTTTTAGGGGATTCTTGGAAGGTTTTCTAGATGGTTCAGCATTTTGTTCTATTCTTATTATTGAACTTATTGTTTCAAGCATGTTCCGAGATGTCTTTTCCCTTTTGAAACAAACTTGAGACATTGGAACAACTTTTGTGTTTTCGACTGTTTGGCGCATCTAACTGTTGGATTTCTGATGGTCAAGTTGTAGTATAGGTCAATGCATTGTTTCAAATATCTTGGATCGCTTATGATTGGACTATGGAACGCGGCAGCCGAACAAAGGATGGCGACTATGCTCAAACTCTGTCTTTTCGTGGTGATGGCAAAATTGTCCAGCAGCCACAGCTGAGTGACTACTCCAAAGCAGTGCAGATTGTAACATTGTCTTTGAGCAAGTGGTATGTATGATAAACTTGCTTGTTATATAATTTAATGTTTTATTTTATGCAGTCCCCTAGATAAGGTTCACATATCGAA